GGCAGCGCATCCCTCCGGGCAGCCTGGGATGGCGTTTGGAACGGCGTTAGGTGGGATATCGGGAATAAATCCTTCCTCAGGAGGGTGGGGAGGCCAGGGTTTCCAGGGAATTTGTGGCTGCCCTATCCCTGGAAGTGTCCAGGTTGGGGCTTGGAGCAACCTGGGATAGCAGACAGTGTCCCTGCCCGTGGAATTTTCAGTTTAAATTCCCATCTAACACAAACCAGTCTGTGAGTGTCTGAAACGCAGAACGGGAATGTTTTCCATAGAAAGCTGTGGTTTGTGTCACGAGTAACGTGGTGTTTGGGGATTGCTGGGGTTTAGGTTTGAGTTCATCCACAAGAAGCAGTCGGGAGGAGCAGGCCAGTACGGCAAAGTGATCGGAGTGCTGGAGCCCCTGGAGCCGGAGAACTTCACCAAACTGGAATTTGAGGACAGAACCATCGGCACAAATATTCCCAAGCAGTTTGTGCCTGCTGTGGAAAAGGTACAAACCTTTCTCTGTGACAGAGAAAACTCTGATTCCTGTTGTTTTCCTGCAGTACCACCCACATTCGCTGTGCCTGCCTTGCCCCAGGAAAAGAGGCTTTTCCCATTGCTTCAGTGGCAGCAGGATCACAGTTGTGTGGTTTTACTTCATGTCCTGCATTCCTGGGGTTTCCAGTTAATTCAGGAGCTGCTGTTTCCTTTGGTGGTGTGTGCTGGCTCTGTTTCCCTTGTCAGAGCCTCCTGCTCAAGCTGCTTTTTCCTGGCCTCTTCTGCTTCTGGTTGTGGCCCCACAATTCTCCTCCCAACCCCAAAACACGTAAATTCTTCTGTGACTTCTCTGAGGCCAGTTATGGAGGGAACTGAGCTGCATTTCCTGCCTCAAATCCCAGATTCTCTTTCTTTATTGCCTCTGTGACTGCCTCACTGTATAATTTATCACACACAGCTTTAATTAACTTACCAACATCTTGGAATTCCTGTAATAACCTACAATTATTCTTTCATTTTTCCATGATGCAACACTTAAAAGATTTTTGACAAATCCTAAAAAACCATAGTCTTAAAGGAATCTTGTTCTCCAGGCAAGAGCTCTTTCCACACTGAGCATTATTTTGGGGCTTGGCCATGAAATCCCTTTAAAAGGCAAATCCTGAGGCCATTTTTCCTCGTTCTGTGATTTTGTATTTGTAAAATCAAACCAAGTTGCCAAAGAGTGGCGGTGCAGAGGCTGCAGATCCCTGTGGTGACTCTGAGCTGTCGTTCCCAGGGATTCCGAGAGGCCTGTGAGAAGGGGCTGCTGTCAGGACACCGCATCTCGGGCGTGCGCTTCGTGCTGGAGGATGGTGCCCATCACATGGTGGACTCCAACGAGATCTCCTTCATCAGGGCAGGAGAGGGAGCCCTGAAACAAGGTACAGGCTCCTCCTTGGATGGGATCTGCTGGCTGGTATTCCCTTCCTGAGCAGAACCTGTACAAGAGTTTATAGAATTCCTGAGGGAGGCTCAATAATTCCTGTGGCTGTACGAAGGAAATCCCGTTTTCCCTGAATTCAGTACAGCAACACCACCAGCTTCATCCTTACAGGCTAGGAAGAGAACTTTTGGTCAAACTGGGCCTTTTGGGAAAAATTCCTTCAGAGAAGGAGAGGTTAAACACTGGAAGGGGCTGCCTTGAAAGTGGTGGGGTCACATTCCCTGGAGGTGGCATTTCACAGTAGGGTTTAGTGAGCACAGTGCTGTCAGCCAGAGGTTGGTCCTGATGATCCTGGAGGTCTTTCCCAGCTCTAATGATTCAGTGATTATGGCTCTGGGAGCTGGAATTCCATGTGTTGATCATGGCTTTTCCCTGGCATTAACCATAAACCGTCTGCTGCTGTGTATGGGAGCAGCTTGCCTTGCCCCAGGTTCACCTTTGGCATTGGCTGCTTTATTCCATCCTTTCCCCAGCCATGGAGAACGCTGCTGTGCGCATCCTGGAGCCCATCATGGCCGTGGAGGTGATGGCTCCCACGGAATTCCAGGGAGCTGTGATAGCCGGGATCAACCGGCGGCACGGCGTGATCACGGGCCAGGATGGCTCCGAGGGATACTTCACTCTCTATGCTGAGGTCTGTGTGCTCACTGCTCCTCACCTTTCCCTGGGCTGGATTCCCTTGTTTTCCTCGGTTTTTGTGGGTACAGTCGTAGGTTGATTCCATTTCAATGTTCCTTCTTTTATCTCCCTCCTAAAAATGATTGGAGAGGATCACTGGGTGTTTTCCTGCTGGGTGGGGGGCTCAGGATAACCACTTCTTCTTCCCAAAATATCCTTGGAGGAATGTCTGGAGGTACCTCAAAACTTGCTGGTTGACTCATCACTGAATTTAGGATATTCCAGTTCCTGGTGCACTCAAATTCTCAGATTTTTGATGTTTCTTGCTGAAAACACACTGCAAATATAAATTAATTAAAATAACAGATACTTTACAACAGCAGACCATTAAATCAGAGCTGTTTACAGACAGCACTGACTCTTTATGTCATAATTGGGATTATGACAACCCAAAAGTGATGGGAAAAGCCTCATTGTGAGCAAACATGTTTGGATTTTAGGTGCCACTGAACGATATGTTTGGATACGCCACTGAGCTGAGGTCTTGCACAGAGGTGAGTCCTCATGGTTGTTTCTGCTAGAACGTGTTTGGCTCTGTAAATTTGGGCTCCTTGGATCATCCTATCTTGGCAGCTGCAGCAGGGAAGGAGATCAAACCAGAGCTGTGGAATTCCTGGCCAAACAATTCTTCCGTAGTGGAGGAGTTCTGTTTGGGTGGGATTGTGGAGGGTCCCTGGGTGTTACATCCCAGGCAGGAGGGGTGTGCCCAGCAGGGCTGCACATGGCCTATCCATCTCTTTTCCCAGGGAAAAGGGGAATACACCATGGAATACTCCAAATACCACCCCTGTTCAGCCAGCACTCAGGAGGAAATCATCAACAAATACCTGGAAGCAACGGGGAGGCTTCCTGCCAAAAAGGGCAAAGCCAAGAGCTGATGGGATTCCTCTGCAGTCCACTGAACAGTGTCCCAGTCTTCTCCACCAGCTCACTTCTCCAAGCCATGGAAGCAGCCCAGGCTGGCTGGGTAAGGTGGGCTCCAGTGAGATTTGGACTTGGAATTTTATCATAAAACCTTTCCTCTGGGGTGTTGTGAGCAGCACCAGGGGATCACCACGGGGCTGCTCACGTGTAAATGCTCGTGTAACAAATAGATGGTAAAACACCGCTGATGATTTGCTTGAAATTTGTCTTAATTAAGAGCTATTAAAATTATTTTATTTTTTACTTGATTCATCTTCATTTGGAAATGTTAAACCAGGAAACTGAGGCAAGAGCTGCTGGGTGGATATCACTTGGCACGTGGTGCTCCAGCTTCCCTCCAGGGAACAGATGGAATCTTCCCCTCCAAATCCTTTGGAAATGGCACAGGATCTTCCAAAGTCTCAACCCACTGGGAAAAGCCATCAGTCACCAAATCCACTTTCACTGGTGGCACAAAGATGGAGCTGAATTGCCAAGGATGCTGGGAGGAGCTGCCTCTTCCCAAAGCTGGGAACAACATGGAATTACTGTGTGGCTTGGTGATGTGGATTTAATGGGCTTGGGGTGTGGATTCATGTTTGGGCTTGGCTTTTGGCTCTTGGTTAGAAATCCAAACCAAAGATCCCTTTTCCCAGAATCTCACAATCCAGAGGCTGTTAGAAATCCAAACCAAAGATCCCTTTTCCCAGAATCTCACAATCCAGAGGCTGAGTTGCAGCTGATGTTCAGCTCAGGAACCACTTGACTTTGCTGACTCAGAGACAAAACAAAGGGGTTAGGTGAGAAGATACTCCCATAATTCTGTATTTTTAATTATTCCCAGAATGTCCACGTTGAATTTTCTTTCCTCCTCCTTGCCCTACTCAGCTGAAAAGTGTTTTTGCAGATTCCAGTAAACAAGGAGTGAAGTTCCAGTTCAAACCCAGCGACATTCCTGGCACAGCACTGGGGTTGCTGCTTCCCAGACAGAAACAACTGGAGCAGCCAGGCTGCCTCTGCTCACGGAAGGACTGGAAAATGATTTATGTAAACCTTGGGAAAGGATTTGCCTGGAGCTGCTGATGGATCCCAGGCAAGGTGTGGGGTGTCCGTGTGGTGCTGCCTTGGGACAAATCCAAGATTCCCACACATCCATGGCTTTGTTTTTGGGAATGCTCAGCTGGAATTCATTTCCAGAAAAGCCCTGAAGGTTCTTAGACATTTGGAAGTTTTCTAAAACAAGCAAATGTAGCACTTTTCCCAAAATTTGGAGTTGTCTGATAAAAGCAGTGTGAACACAGGACAAGAAATAGGGTGGGTATGATTTCATCTGTATTTCTGTGGGTTGTATTTGTATTTCTGGGGGTTATATCTGTGTCTCTGAGGTTTATTTATTGATGGGATTTCTATTTATGGGGTCTGTATTATTGTATAGACCAGTTGTGATGTGAATTCCTGGCTGATGAGTTCTGCCAGATGTGCTGGTTCTCCACAAACCTGGAAAAGAAACAAGCCCCAAGAATTTTGCTGTATGATTTGAGGTTTTAGGCTGAAACCTTGGCCTAAAAGCAGCTGGGGGAGACTTTGCTGTAGAATTCCAACAGCTTTGCTGCTTCTCCAGAAGTTCCTATGGAGCTCCTTAGCTGCTGTGAGTTTGTGAGCAGCCAGTTCCACCAGCCTGGTGCCTGGCAAGTGCCTGATCCTCTATCCCAGCCCTGCAGAGCAGTGGCAAAAACAAGGTGAGGAGACAAAAGCACAGTCCCAAAGTGCCAAATCCATCCTATTTTTCTTGGCTTAATTCCAAAAAAATATTTTAATCACGAGCTTCTTTAAGGAATGTTGAAATTTCACTCTCTGATTTCACATTTCTGATGATGAGAAATGTTCTGCCAGCAGGAAAGAAAGCACCAGGAGGGTGTGGAATGCTGCTTCCCTGAGTTTATTGGGTGCTGAGGGAAAAAGCTTCAGTCAGGAAATCAGACTTGTGTAAAATGCTGGGAGTTGGGAAACTGGCATCACCCAAGGTAAAAACATCCAGGGAAAGCTGTTGTGTGAATCCTGGAATTGCTGTTCCCAGTGGTAGGTCAAGGATTGTGAAAACCACCCCAAGTCAAACAGAGCAGCCACCCCAGAGCCTCTGTTCCTCATGAATGTGGTGTTCCTGGGAAGGATTTCATTTATCCTGCCACAAACCTGGCTAAAAGGGGAAAAAGGTGAGTTTGGGACAGTTTGGCACAATCCCAGTGAGCAGAGGTGGGACAGAGATGGATCTGCTGGAGAATTTGGTGGCAAAGGACAAAGCCAGGACTTTGTGGTGGGACAGGACAGGGCAGGAATAACACAGGAGCTGTTCCCAAACATGGGGATTCAGCCACAAGGAGCCCCCCTGGCTCTGCAGGTGTGTTTAGGTTTGAGGTGACAGAGAAGATGGAAATTTGGGCTCCACAGCAGCAGAAAGAAAACCCAGCCTTGACCCTGAATGATGGCATTTGGTTTATTGGAGATGTGAGTTAAAAATCAGCATCATTCTAGCCCAAAACATGACAAAAAATTAGTAGGCAAATCTCTTTTAGTGACAGATTAACACTTTGCTCATTATTTTTATCCAAATATATTAGTTTTGTTTACAAACTCTTGAGTAACAGTTAATTAATGACATCAAATCAACTGCTGTATGTTCATCTGAATATATGGAGTAGCAGAGGGTTCAAGCAGAGCTGCAGAACTTGAATCTCGCCGTTGAAGAAGTGAGAAGAATTAATTTTGGCAGAGAACAGATCAGTGAAACCACTGCCACTGACTGACTCACATGGAAGGATGATCCCAGCTCCAGGTCTGGTTGGATCCATATCCACAGAACTGAAGATTTCACTTAAAACTTTGGTCCCTTTTCAGCCAAAGGCCCAGCAGCTGATCCGGATTCTGCCCCGGATCCCTCGTCCAGCCCGCGGCTCTCGGAATCACAGAAATGTTTCACTTTCAGAGGGTGCCCAGGGAGCCACGTCAGGCGCATGTGACAGGAGATGATTTCCTGGAGAAGGGATTTAAACACACAGATTTTATCACCTTGATGAAGTTCATCTCCTGCTGACAGGAGGGGCTGTTCACGAGCAATTCCTTACCTGGGTTGGGATTTCGTGCAGTAGCACAGTGTAGTCAAACTCAATAAAATCATCTTTCCTGATCTGGGCAGGTGTAAAAAAGAAAAGAATTATCAGGAACACAGGTTTATATTAAAATATAACATCTGCTGAGATTTACTGGAGCTCAGGGAAGGTGAGCAGGGCCCCATGGCTGTGGTTCCTGGCTGGAGTGAGATGGGTTTTCCTGGTGGAAAGATGGAATTAGGAGTACTTCCTGCACGGAATGTTTGAAGGCACCAAGAGCTGTCTGGCACTGAAACCAGGTGTGAATCAATTGAATTTAACCCTCAGTTAAATGTGAGAATTACGTGAACCCCTCCTTCAGAGAGATGCTGAACAGCTGAGGAGCCAAACTGGCTCCAGAGGGCTCTGGAAGTGCTGCAGGATGTGCTGCAGGGTGTGCTGCAGGATGTGCTGCAGGTGTCAGGTGTGAGGGGGCAGAGGGTGCTGGGCTCTCCTGTGGGGCTCTCAGCACCTGCAGGAGCCACTCCTGCAGATCCAGGTAAGGACAATTCTCCCAGCAAAACCTGGACGAAGTGCTGGTGCTGAGGTGGAGCTGCTGGTGAGGAGCAGGCCCTGGGATTTGGGGAATCCCCTGGGAGCAGGGCTCTGTGCTGCCCCTGCCACACTCACCCACTGCCTCACGGACTTCACTTGTGCCAGGGAGTATCTCAAGGTCTCCGTGGACTTCTGCCACATGATGGAGCTGCTGCCAGCCACAGCCAGAGCCCACACTGGCTCCAGGGCAGGCTCAATGTTGCCATAGCTGTCTGCAGGGCGAGGAGAAAGAGAAAATAATATTAATTCTGGCTGGGCAGCAGAAAAATGACAACGCTCAAAGCAGTTTTGCCTGGCACAGCACCATTCCTGGATGGGGCTCTTCCCTCTGATGTGTCACAGGGATAGGAATGATGCTAAACCAGCAGCTCCAGGGAAGTCTAAAGTGTGGCAGAGCTGACACTGCCAACAGAGGGATCCCCAGGATGAGGTGAGACACCCAAAGCCCCACAATAATGGGAGTCCTTACATAGCTGGGAGAAAAGATGGAATTTTTCCAGGATGGAAAAATTGTGTTGGTCATCCTCAGTGAATTTCCAGCCACAGCTGGGGAGGTGTGTGGGTTTGGACAGTTGTTATTCCTGGAGGACAATCTGCACTGACTTCAAAGTTCTGTGGAGCTGCTTTAAAACCCAAACCACCCTCACAGGATGGTGCTGAGTGCCAGTGGTAAATCCAGAGGGGCTTTGTTCTCCCAAAAATCCCTGGGGAGGTGGGGTTGCTTTGACAGCAGGATGGGCTCAGGGTGCTACTGTCAGTAACGTGTTTCCTTCTTAAATGCTTGTGTCCTTCATGCCCTTTGAGATCAAATGAAATACAGGTGGGTATTTGGAGGAATATACCTGGAATGTTGTTTCCAGTTATTGGTTTGCTTTGGTGCCTCATCCTTTGGTAAAGTCTGTTGTCCTCTTCCTGGATTTCCTTCTTCTCTTTGGTGTTGGAGCACTTGATGCTGACAACAGGAGGAGACTTTTTCTTTGGATACAGCACTGTAGCCAGGCAGTTCCCAGCATCTTCCTGTCAAAGGAGAGCTTAAAACTGTTATTTTAATCAAGATTTTATTTACCAGCAACTCACTCTTTGTATGAAGCTGTTCAGGGGTTAGGAAAGTGACAAGAAGGATTTTATTTTCCCTTTTTTCCAGGAAAGAGGTTAAAACCACAAGGCTAAAGGGATTTAACAGAAGGTTTTAATTAATGCTTGTCCTGCTTTCAGGGCATGACAATGCTCTAAGTCATCTTGGAAATATGTTTGTGAGAGCTTAAGAAACAACATTAATTGATAACAGGGACTTTCATTGTGCCAGCCTTGAAACAAAAATAATCTAAGGCTTCACAGTAAGTTCTGAAAATCATCTGAATTCCACAAAATGTGTGTGAAGGAAGAGGACAGGAAAATGCTGCTGACAGCTGGGACAGAGAGAATGGAGGAGGGGGATGGAATTGGAAAGAACATGGAGCTGTCAACTCCTGATTCCTGTTTTGGGGTGTGGACAGCAGGAATGGGGAATGGGGAGCAGGGATGGGGAGCAAGGAGGGGGAATAGGGAGCAGGGAGGGGGAGC